CGATATCTTTGGACGATTTGTACTTGAAGAAAAAATTCATCAGTTTTGATGAAAATAATCCTCTCTCTTGATCAAAATTAAAATACATATTTCAAAGATACTCTTATATATTCTGTATACACGAAAGGATTAACTCTATTCACATAATCGCACGGACGTTTACACTTCCAGACACATGTTTACATGACGCTTTCGTGCGCGCATAAAGAACCACTGACACTAACGCATGCGAAAATCCGAATTTGCGTGCATACACACATGCGCTGGTTGCATCGGGGGAGATTTCGTACAGCCGGTGCCAGATTGATTCGGTTCACCTAAACCGCTATCTCATCCCCTTCTCTGAAGAGAACGCGAGATAGGAAGAGAAAGAGAGAGAGAGATAGAGAGAGAGAAAGAGGGAGGAAGGGAGGAGAGAGAGAGAGAGAGAGAGAGAGAGAGAGAGAGAGAGAGAGAGAGAGAGAGAGAGAGAGAGAGAGAAGGGTGCCAGTGGATACCGTCCTGGATTTTCCGCCGTCAAGTCGTGGTGAGGAAGGGTGTTTACTCAAGACACGACAATTCATTACGTAATTGAATTGAATGAGCCCTCTCCTTCGCTCCTCGTCATCCCCCTACCGGGACGTTCGGCTCGAACGTGTACGCGTGCGAATGCTCAGGCACGCGTGTGCGTGGCCAGAGGTATACGCCAGCGAGGGGTGGATCGGGATTCAGAGGTGGATTAAGGCTCGCGAAGGGCCCCAGAAGCTGATGGGAATCGGAAAATTGATAAAGTGTCCCTTAAAAACACGAGAAAAATATTGCTTTTCTTGAATTAATACAATTGCCCCCGGTCGATGAAAATATCCTATTTATTTACATAAGACATAAATATGATAATAATCAGAGAAGCTTTCAGCCGCACGCGTAAAATTGATTTTTATATAATTATTTAATTAGAAATAATATAACATCGCAGAAAGGAAAATATTAGGTTAATATTAATTTACTTTCACACATTATGTTACATATTATACTTTGCAATTTTTTAAATAGAGATTGCCTAATTTCAAGTTTACATCATCATTATTAAAAAAAAATCTCGATCTTGAGTAATGATTAAATAAAAGGTGCTATAATATTGCATAAGAATGTTTTTTTTCTAAATTTCTAGAGATCTATTACTTTTTAAAATGTGATTACTTTAGATCCTCGTGCGAAAATTCATGCGTTCGAGATTTCGCTACGTTCCTGAAGAGATACCATAATCCCACACCCTGTTCGCCGCCAACATAGCGCGTCGTCTACACTTCTCTCTGGCTGGAGAGATCCGAAGGCTCGAACCAACCGGAGGGGCCCAGTAGCGAGCAACCGAATTAAACGATTAGTTAAACTGATTTCGAGTTAGGCGAATGAATAAGTAATCGGATTTCTCGTTAAGGTAATCGCATTGCGCCCTGATTGGCTCCGTCTGCCTGCGTTATAGGCCGCACTCCCGGCATTTTGCCCCTCTTCGTTCCGTCCACCCTTATCCTCGTCCTCATCGATGCTTCTCTCTCTCTCTCTCTCTCTCTCCCTCTCTCTGTCTTTCTCTGTCTTTCTCTTCTTCTCTTCCCCTCTCTCTCTCTTTATTGTTGAGAGGAGAGAGTGTCCCCTCATCTCGTTCGCACGATGTTCTCGCTCGATCTCATTGTCGTTGTCTCATCTTCCGGAAATTGAGAAGCACGAATATTTCGAGTAATATGTGCGCGTGTCGAGACTTTCCCGTTTATATTCCTCGTCATTTGGTTGTTTGATGCTCGTTATCAATTTCGATTATTATATTAGTGTCTTGAAACTTTGATAATTAAATTTTAAATGTGTTTTAATATATCTTAATATTCATTTTTTTTATCGAAAGAAAGCACTTAAGTCTTGTCAAATTTTTATTTTATTTAATCTTTATAACTTTCATTTTTTTATATTACTTCATATATTAATAAAAGTACATTCTCAGGTACATCTCTCATATCGCATTATATAGAATTAAGATGTATAAAATTATATAAAATTAAAATTTTACCCAGTAAATATTATTTGTGCAGTATATAAATTAATGTGGAAAAGTAACAAATAATATAACTCAAATTATCTATATTTCTTTTAAAATTGTAATAAATCATACATATTATTTTGTGACAAAATAAATAAATTATAACAATAATGTAACAGAATATTATTTGCAATATAACATATACGTATCCCTTTGCTCCCTCTACGCGATGAAACTAAACATTAACTTGTATTCAATTTTTTACCATGAAATAGATATAAAACTTACAAAAAACGAGTATTAATATAAGATCTGAAGATCTAATATAAAATCTATTTTTTGTCAGTTTAATTTTTAATACAATCTCAACAAGAGATTTAAAGTATTAAATAGATGATTTGAAATTGAGCGGATAAATGGGAATAGTGTATTTATTTACTGTCTACTTGAAGTAAAAAAATTTAGATTTCTATATAAATTAAATCCCTTTCATAAATTAAATACGTATAATTTTATTTATTTAATATCTATAAATATAACTAATATTTTCTATATGAATCAATTTTATACGAAGTATAAAAACGAGAACATATATATATTATATATTACATTATAAATCTGAAATTACAATTAATCAATAACATACTGGTAATATTTATGTATATTACTAGCGCAACTCCGTTTTTATATAACATTAATAGTGTTTACTGGATATAAAACTACTCTATCGAAAGAGAATTCAAAATTGAAATATGATGCAATATTTTTAAGTTTGAAATTTTCATTCAAACGCGTTCATGTGTTTGTTTGCACTTCTTGAGTAGACTATATCCTTCTCTCTGCCCATCTGTCCGTATCCCGTAAAACGGTCCGACACAACGTGGAGTCCGCTAGCAACCCGAGCAATTACATTTCCCGAATGCAATCCCATTTAAATATTGCCGAGTTTGGCGACGACAAACACGGGGCGCACGTCCCAGGGTCGCATTCACCTGGCGCAAAGAGAAATTTGCGGACCACGACGTCACGCGAAGAGAGGATTAGCTTCTATACATTTGATAAGCGCGAAGCGGATGCAGATTTAGTGATATCGTGAAAGACGAGAGAGCTAACTGTTTCACTTTTGACAGGGTTTTGTGCAACAAACAGAACGTATACTTTATCGAGAGCGATAAATCATGCTCGAGAAATAGAGATCGGCAAGAACGAAATCGAATTTGCGAAATCGAACCGATATACATCATTCTGAGAGTTTACGAGAGTTCTGAAAATTACGCACCACCGAAGAGGAAGACACAGGGAAGATAAAAAAAGAGAGAAAAAGCGCGCGCGAGAGAGAGAATGTGTGATATTGATAAAAGGAGAAGTTTATATTATATATTGAAACAGATATTGAAATGGAAAAATATATAGAAAGTGAAAGAGAGATGGCATATGAGACAAAAAAAATGTATTTGTCGTAAGTAACATGCAAGATCGTTTATCTATGAATCGATAAATCTGTATCGTGATGTTTTCTAAATTTATTTATATTTGAAAATTTTTATATTTTTGTACATATGTGTGCCACACAACAAAAATGAATAATTGACATTTTTATAGAATTACTGTCTCTTCTATGAAATATTATAATATACACAGAATGTGTTATAAAAGAGTGTTTGAAACTTGAAAGAAAGATGGATAAAAAATAATTTTTTTCAATAAATTAAATGAAATATATCTAATCGCCAAAAAACTTCTAAAAAATATATTTAATCGCAAAATTTTATCAAAAAAAGAAAAGAAACAATTTTCAATTTTAATGATAAAGAAAATTTACTTGCATTGATTTATTCAAAAGCAGTCATGTAGTTTCATATATGTAAAGATTCGGGCGAATCATCTATTACACATACGTATATTATCAAAATCAAAGTTTCAATTTCTAGCAAGATTAATTTTTCGATTTATATTGATTAGACTATTTCTGCATAAAATGATGAATATTACTTATTCCTTAAATTTTGAATTCTTTTTCTTAACTCTCTATAAAATATTGATAATTCTATAAAATCATAGTCACTAATTTTTTAAATTAAATTAAAAATTTAATTTTAAATTATGGAATTAATATTATAATTTAAGTTAAATTAAATTTGTTTATTAAACACACACACACACAAACAAACACATATACTGTTTTGTAAATTTTACAAATTCAATATAAATGTGAAAAGGTATTAGTTACATTTAATATACAAAAGTACAAAGTAAACAAGAAATAATTAACAATCTATAAAATTTTATAAATAAATTACATATATAATTACATATGTAATTCCTTATTATGACATTCAAGATAAAAATGACGCGCGTCATAGAAGCTTTTTGCCTCATTTGTGTAAAATATCTATCTTTTTCTAAATCTCGCGTGGAACGATTCGATGACCGATAACAAGGCCGGACAAAAAGGAAAAGCTTCGACCGCGGAAAGCATCGGATTAATTACCCGCGTACCCGCGGCGGCCTCTTTCTGCCTCCGAGTAAATATAGCGGCCCTGGATGGCGGTCGCGCGCAAGAGTGAGAGGGGTAGCTTCGCGCGGAGGAAAGGAGGAGAGGATAGTAGGACGGTCGTCGAACGGTATATCCTATCCCTGGCCAGCGGCGAGGGGCAGCTTCCGCGCGAGCGGCGGGTGGTAAAGCGGGCGCAAATGCTAATGAGCGTCGGTTTGAGGGGAATGCGCGCCAGCCCTCCGGAAGGGGACGGAGGGGCCTCGAGCCCTCGGGAAGGGTGACGAGAAACCAACGACGAGAGGCAAACTCGGGGCGTTTCCATCACGCCCATCCGTGGCGCGGATTGGTTGGCGACCGAATGGCGCCCTGGGCGACGCGTGGCGACCGACGTCGACGCGTCCCCCGGCGACGGTTCTCTCCCGCGACGGCGGCGGCGAGTGCCGTCGGTACCGAGGCGCGACGTCGCGCGCGAGAGTCGCCCCGATAACCGTGAGGATGGAGCAGCTTGCCCAGTTCGTCTCCAAGAGCTTCGACAACGCGGCGGCCGCGGCGGCGGCGAGCGTCGAGGCCGCCGCCGCCGGCTGCAGGTCGGCCGCCGGCGGCAGGATCACGCTCAGTGTCGCGCATCTCATCGGCGATCACGCTGCGGATGACGATGATCGGCGTAGGTGCAAGTTTTTTTTTCTCCGATACACCCCGTGACGTTCACATGTGCCGATTGAAGCGATCAGAAATTAGCCCCGGCGAAGCCGAAGCGATTTTCTAGTCAGTGCGCGCGTTCTTTTCTGTAGGATCTTTTTTAGTAGTTTTTTTATAGATCACGATATCTATTTATACAGATTTGATATCGTGTATAAGTCAAGAGGGAGTTTGTTGCGCGAGTCTGAGATCGATTCGTATGTGTATGTGCGAGTTTATCAGTGATTAGGATCAGCAATGCAGAATGGAGTGTATGTATCGATCTAGAGGGATTCATCTAGAAAAAAAGATTGATTGTGAAAGTTATGTAAAATCCTTGTGTCTTGAACAATATTCAGAATTGTTTAGATTTTTTAATCACGTTGAATAAAAGATATAAACGTTGAATTAAAGGGAAATTAATTGCAGATATTAAAGATGCCGAAGCTCCTTTTATAAATAATAATCTTTTATAAATATTTTTCTTCTTTCATATTCTTTCTTCTTTTATTTCTTACAAGTAATATATTAAGATTATTATTTATAAAAGAAGAAAAAATTTCTTAGAAATTCTTTCTTCTTTTATAAAATAATAATCTGCATTTTTTTAGTTTATAATCGTTATCTTTTACTTTTAAATAATTTTATTACATATTTCCTTTCACGATGCTATTTATTTTATGTTATTGTGTATTTTATATGTTTTATATGCATATATTCTTTACTGAGAAGATCTCTCTTGGAACATAATGGGCACTGTCAATTTTTAATTCAAACTTTTTCTTTATTACAATACAATTTACACTTTCTATCATTGTATATATTTGATTATTATGCCAATAAAAGTTGTATCCGTTAATGCTCGCTACTTTGAAAACTGCAATTCACTTACGAATCGATTTATCGCCGAGGCGATCCTCGTCACGATCAAGATGGTCCCAGGCCAATACAAGTAAAACTTGTTTAGATGAAAGCGCGCAGGAGGTCGGTATCGTCGAGACGAGCGGAAGTGTCGAGGAGCCGCCGTCGCCGGAAGGCCGACTACAACCGGAGGATCTGTCTGTCACGGCCAAGATCAAGGACATCCGGGACACCGCGGAGAGCCTGCCGCCTTTGAAGACTCCCGAGCTGAAGCTGTCAGTTCGCAAACTTCTCGGATGCACCCCCTCGCCGCCGCCCATATCGAGGGATCGATCGCCCAGTCCGGAAAACTGCGTCGAATTGAAAAGTCAAAGCTCGAGTGACGGCAAAACGACTGCATCTTCTAACGATCAGGCCAAAATATCCTCCCAAGTTACAAGGTCGAGCGGTCAAGAGGACCTTACCAAAGGTAAGAAGTAATAATCTTTTAATAATCATTACGATGTAGAAAGTATATTTATTTGTTGAAATATGACGTTACAAAGTTTTGATGATATTATATTATTTTTATTATATTATTTTTATTTAGTGTGTGTATATAATATCTATTTATTTAGTATAACATTATCAAAACTTGACATTTGTCATGGTATCACTTAAAAATATTATATTAAATTAAAGCTATTGTTGATCTTATGGATTAATCATCGTAATTAATCATCGATAATTTTCTTGGAAAAAATTATGATCACACATATAATAAATTATGAATCAAAGTTATATAATTAAATTAAAAATGAATGCTTATAAACTGCAAGGTAAAGTGGATAAATTAGAAAAGAATAGGGTTTTGCGAAAAATATTAAATCCAATATTATATGAAAATTCACACAATTGTTGAAGAGGATTCGAATTAAATAGTTGAATGTAATATGAAAAAATGCAAATATATATCCATAGACATTTACATAAAATTATGTGTATGTACGAGATAAAAAATGCAGAAAATAATCTCTATCCGTTTCCAACTGAAAATTTGTCTCAGACTTTTATCGTGTTCCATACCCTGCCCTGGCCCAATGTATGACGGTGTCAGCTTTGATTTTGGCAGATCGACATTCTTTAGGATTAGACCGTTTGCGATTGCCGCGCGAACGAGTGCAGGAACGAGAGAAGGTCAGGTCAGGGAGCTCCCTCCTCTTCGGCGTCGGCATCGAAGTCGCGGTAGGTCGGAGGGATCCGGTCTTCGTTTATAATTCAGGCCGTCGTCCAATAAAGCTCACAAGTGATATAGCTGACCGTTCGCAACGTAATGATCGGCGACCCGATCGGCGATTTCGCTCACGAGCCGAGTCATCTTCGATAAAACGCTCGCTCGGCCGAGCAGTACTGAAAGATGAAATTACGTCGAGTCCCTCTTGCTGCTCGCCCTCGGACGGATATAAAGCGGACACCAACGGTCATATAAAAAACACTCGTAGAAATTAATGCACATCAAAAACTTGTTAATGCACATCAAAAAATTGTTAATTAAATAGATTGAAATATTAAAATATTTTTTTATTTTAAAAAATATAGGATGTCTAAATGGAGTATCTACTCTCTGGAAAAACATGGAAAATGTGGAATTCTCAGAGATTTTTTTTCGTACCTGGAAAAATTGAGAAATCTTATGGAATTTTGAAACTCGGGAAATTTTTTTGATATTTCTCAAGAAAATTTTTCTCTTTGATAATCTTGCTTTTACTTTTGCAAGCAGTCAATAATTTATTAATTACATGTTTATTATAACTATATATCTCTCTTTATTTAAATTCATTATTTCAACAAAATATTGATTATTGAACATTCTTTATTGTAATTTTTAGTAGTAAACAACTGAAAATACTATGCAAGTGAAAAGTTTTCAACAATTTGCCGGCAAGTTATTAATTACATGTTTAAAATTCATTATAAATATATATATCTATCTTTATTTAAATTCATTATTTCAACACAATATTGAATATTGAACAATATACATTTTTATTATAATTTTTAGTAGTAAACGAAAAGCTTTTATTCTAGAAAAGCTGTTTAGTTGTTTTTCAGTACATTTGCAAATAGTACTTAAAATTTAAGTAGTTCTACGTTTTTTCTTCGTATAAGTAAACAAACATTTAATAACGCAAGTAATAATAAAATTTTTTTTTAAATTGCACTCCAAAAAATCTTTCAAATATTCTCTTTATCTAGAATTTTGAAAAAAATATCAAGAAAAAATCAAGGAATTATTTACAAGACTTGAATAGACATACACCCTGCTAAATAACCATTCTTTATTTTCAAGATGGAAGAAATTTATCAAACTTATGTTCCTCGATTGAAAGAAAACAAACACATATATTAATCAACTATTACAATATCAACATCTCTGACGTCTTTCCCATTAAATCATTATAATTCATCTCTTAATATAAGGGATTGAAACATTTTATCTGTCTAATCTAATAGATCTGATCTGATAATCATCCGATTATGCCCTAATAATGCCATTTCTTCTACCTGAATTCATTTACGTAAAAAACAAATTTGCCTGCAAAAGTTAAGCCTGCACTGAGGAGACCGGTCAGTCACCATGGGGTAATCTTAGCTTATACCTGGTGTGCGGCGAAACTATCGCCGCGGGCAACGATTGAAACGGGAAACGAACGAAGCGAAAAACGAGATCGAAGCGACGGCGATCGCGTTATAAAAAGCGTGCAACGTTGAAGTAACGCCACGCACACTTCCCCGCGCTATAACTTCGGCCGTCGAGTGCGCGGCGCCATGAATTTATGGTTTAATATGCGGCCCGCCGCGTTAGCTGTGTGTACGCCCCCTAAACGGGGGGAAGAAAAAGAGAGAGAGAGAGAGAGAGAGAGAGAGAGAGAAAGAGAGAGAGAGAGAGAGACGGCTGCTGCAGCAACTCGCCTATCTCTCGAGGGCCCATAACTTTTTCCGATTAAGCGCAAATCAAAAAGCAATCTGCCCGACTCGGTCTGCAGCGGCCGCGAAAGTAAAATCGTAAATATCCGCGAGAAGCTTCTCTCCGTTGGAGACTTTGGGTATCGAAAAGAGCTTGGGTATCGAGTAATAGATATTAATGCACACCTTGCGGAGCCGTTGATGGTCCCTGTCCTTTCATCGTGTTAATTCGTTATATCCCAGTAAACACAAAGTAATAGTAATATAACATCAATGTTATATTACTGTTACTTTGTGTTTACTGGGATCGTCGTATTTTGTACACTCGAAAAATGCAACAATTTCCAAATGCGAGAAATTAAGAGAAGATATATGATTATATATGACATACATTGAGATATCGCTTTATACTTTGCACTTAATCAATTTAAATGACAGAGATGGAATTTATATGTAAACTATTAGTGAAATTTAGAAGGAAATTTTTTCAATGTTTAGTCTATCTATGTTAAGACGAATTAATTATACCTGTTATAAAATTTGATCGTAAAAAATTTGATTGTTTCTTTCAAAAATCGTTCTAGCTGTAGGAATTCGTATTTATCCAATGCAGTGATTAATGTTTGTCAATGAAATCTAAATTTGTCAGAAAGCATTACTAGAATTTACTTCTATAAAAATTCTACAGGTTACAATATTCTAGCAGATATAGAAAATAAATTTTTATGATACTTAGAAATCTGCTTACATCAGCAAAATATTTTTTTGTGTATATTATACACAGATACTGTGCAAAGGTTGCATTGTTTCATAAGAGTCAACATCTGTTATAATATTATTTATTTTTTTATGATTTGAAAGGAATTGGCAAGAATTTAGACTGATAATATATCAATCAATCAATTCTATTCCAATAGAAAATATATATAGCTGTCCACGACTAGACATGTCTGACTATACATTTACCTGATTCACTGACATTGACAGCAGTAAAGAGATATAAATTTTGCAAAATTACTAAAATTAGAGAATATTAGGCAATAATAAGAGAAAATACTTAATATACCTCTTTCTCTCTCTTTTTACTTAAGTTGCACAAGATTCAAGACAAGATAATAGTCGTAAAAATATTAGTATTGGGAAAATCATCAATTACATCTTGTTTTGACCTTCGGTGAATCTTTATAGTGAAAATTTGTTTTATATTATGTTTCATCTCGATTTTATTAATAATTTTGATTTAATATTGAACGATATTGTTTAAAATAATTTTATTTAACATAATTTTTATAATTTAAGATAATTACTATTTATGTCATTCATTTATTATTCAAAATATTGTATATATACATATAATATTATATATTATAAATAAATATATATGTATATATATATATATATATATATATACATATATATTTATTTATTTATTTATATATTTACGAAAAGATAGTATACAATACAATACTAGAAACGTTCACACATATGTAATCAAAAAATCATGTATATGTGCTATAAATAAAATTTTGCATAGCTAAATAATTGTATAAAATTTTATATTGTTTATTTTATTTAATAATTTTTTTCTAAATTTGTTAATATAAGTCATTTTATTTATTAAATAGAATTTTTCTAATTCAAATAATATATAATTGTTTCCTATCTAATTTGTAAATACATATTTTAGTTTTGTTTAAAAATCAATAATCTTGACAAGATCATCATAATAATATCTTGACAATATTTTAATCTTATTATTTTGATAACTAATTAAATAAATCTTGTCTTAATCTATTCTTGAATTTCGAGACAAGACAATATCAAGAATAATAATTAATAGTGATGGAGCGTTCCTCTATTAATATTAATTCGCAAACATTAATAAAATAACACAGATAACAATTTCGCAAATAGCTCTTTTCGCATCATGTACACTCTTACGGACCTTGCAGTTTTCTGAAACGAGCACTTCCAGCGATGCGATACTCCAAAACACATTTTGTGCCCCTTCCGACGATTTAACGCGACGTTCGCGCCCATCGGTCTTCAGTCGCGCGTGTTTTTCCGCGTTTGCCGTAAGTGTTGGTGCTTGACCGCCGGTCAAAGGCCCATGCGCTCGTACGTATATTTATGGCACTTGGGGCGCGAGTTTCCTAAAGTATGATAGCGAGGGGTGCACGGCCGCTACTTTACGAAAAATGAGAGAGCGCCCTTTCGCGTATTTACGTCTCTCGCCAAACGCCTCCTCTCGATCCGATAATATAAAAATATACATAATAAAAAATATACATATATATATGCGTGTATGTGTGTGTATATAGCTGTAAAATATATATTTGCATAAGTATAAAATTGCTGCGGGGCAAAAATATTAAGACGCGAAGGGCATTTTGCGAAAATAATACAATTAGATCAATTATAATTCGCAGTGTATGACCAAATGTTAATTTAAATTTGGTAATTAAATTGGTAATTAAATAATAATAATAAATTAATTAAGATGAAAAAGATATAATTAATTTAAAAACATATAGCAGTTTATATATATATATATATATATATATATATATATATATATATATATTGCAAATGTCGAGGGATTACCCAGATTTGGAAAGAATTATGCGATAAACGGTTAAACTGCGAGGGGTACAACCGGCACGCGAGCCACTTTGCTTCATTAAGCGATAAGTGATTGCAGATCTAAAAGCCTCCCTCCTGCTTCTTGCGTATTCATGGGACCGTACGCCATATGTAGCGACTACGATACTTGGGATACGACGACGCTTTTATACGTCTAATGGCCGCGGTATCTCGGCTCGTTTTGGAGGGAGAAAAATAGTATAGCCAAGGTGGTGGTCGGTCCGAGGGTGGCTTAACTGGATCAGGCCAAGAGGGCAGCGCTCTTAGTAATCGAATTAGTGACCCCTCGCGTCCGAGTGTGATTGCTTTGGGTTTTCCAGCAGGGTTCTGCGCTATCTGTCTCCCTCTTCGCCGTAGAATCTCTCTCGCTGTCTTGATCTCCGCGAAGTATCGGTTAACATTTGGCAGTTACGATTTTGCACCTCGGATCGAGACGTTCGAGATGTATTCGACGGATGAGGGAATTTAAGAAAAAATGTGTTATTTTGAATTTGGAAAACGTGAAGAATGAAGAAATGTTAATTGCCGAAATTAATATATATCACTTGTTTTATTAATCAAATAATAACTTTAATAAATTTAATATGTAATAATAATAATTATTATTATTATTCTTTTATTATTTATTATTGCAACATATAATTAAAATAAAATAGTCCGCTATATCTCTTCGAGTCTATCAAAAGGCAACATTTTAGAAAATGACGAAAGAATGAAGAATAAAGCGGAGATTTTCTCCCTCACGGGAATAAACGACTGACACATTCGAGTTAACGACTGCGACAAGGCGCGTATGCGTTGCTCCCTCGTGGGTTATGCTAACGCGATCGCGAAAGGGGGGCGCCGAAAACCGCGCGAGTTATTTTGGAGCAGAAAGGAGAAAGGGGAGGGGAGGGGAAGCGGTTTTAAACCGCCGTTGTACATATGGATGTGGGCTGCTCGTACCCTGCCTCAGATTGGATTACGCGGATACGCGTTAATTGATTAAAACGGGGCCGCGTACGCAATGCCGCATGGCGATCGCGCCGGCGCGTAAACGCATCCGGATAGACTGCGTAAAGCGCTCCGTATTTTTCGTTTTTTTTTTTTTCGGAAAAATCGTATCGTTGTTCAAATAATCAAACAGTAACGAAAAACGATATCGCAGGAGTTTATTCTGTGATGAAAAACAATAAGGGGCCGCTCTTCGATGTATCCTCGCTTATGCCTTTTCTTGTTTATTTTCCTTTAATAATAAATAAAATATAAATACAATATATATTTTTGAATTCTTAATATATTATAAAAATGATTAATATTGTAAAGAAAAATAGAATATTGTGAATTTATTATAGATATTATAACGATTACAATAACGATTATGATAACGATACAGAAAAAAAGGACATTCTTGTTTGAAAAATATATTTAGTTTTAACATGAAAATTTTGAAATGAAATTATATTGCGTTAATTAAGGAAAATATATATTGCTTGTATAATTGCTTACTAATTGCTTGAATGAAGCCATTTTATATAGTTCAATCAAGAAATATATATTCTTATCATTTAAGATTTAATTTTCTTGAATGGAAAAGAAACAATGTTAGATAGAAAATAACATTTTTAAATCAAAGATTATAATTTTCTGAAAGTAGAATCAAATAATTATGTATTCTTGAGGTGACAATTACAATATTAAAATAAAACTAATATTGTTGAAATTTAAAATTATTAAATTCTTCTAAGAAGATTATAAATTGTTGCGTATATACAAAACAATAAACGCGTTAGTTTAAATATATAAGTTTTGATTTGACACTTTTTTTCTGTGTATAACGACTTACAGATCATTATTTGATCCGTTTGTTTTATTTATTTCCTATCATTAATAATGAAAATGTCGATATAATAATTTAACTTTTAGCTTTTGCAAATTTTATAAAAATTATGAAAATAAAAAGTATAAAAAATACTCATGTGCATATAATACCGATTCAAAAGTATATTGCAAGTAATATATCATTTACAAAAACTAAAAAGTGTATCGTTATTTTAATAAACAAAAAAAAAATATATATATATATATATATTATTATTATACATATTATTAACATAAATATATTTATTACTGTTATTTTATGATTTAATATCGTAAAAATTAAGTTATAACAAATAATAATATTGTAGAAATATTAAATTGTTGATTCTTCAAGATAGCTTTTCCAGGCTTCTCAACCGAATCTTAGTTCAATAGAATTGGAACTTAATAGAAATATCCGAAAAATGAGATCTATTAATCAAAACAACTCTTTAGAAACATACTGGAATATCAGTAATAAAAACTTAAAAAAAATATTCGAAAAATAGTCGAAAATGTCAAGATTATAAGTATTGAAAGTGAAAGAAAAAAATTTAATATTTCCATTATTATTGGTTACAATTTTTAATTTGAATTATTATAACGTAACAATAATAAAATATAATTTAATAACTTAATTAATATATATTTTTATTCATTAAAACAACAAATTTTCTCTGCTTTTATAAGTGATGCAATACTTTTGACCGGTGCCGTATATAAAGGATATTTAAATCAGCAAAAACTAGGATAACTATCTTGAAAGAAGGACGAGAAGATGCGAAAAACTTTCTTGGCACGTCGTATTAGAGCGGCCGCAAGCATCGCCGCGAGTTAGAGAGACGCTCTCGGATAATTAACGGCCATACGATTTAATTAATGGTCGCTTAATGTAAAGTAACTACGGTACTACGGCTCTTCGAGGTGTTGCCGACGTAAAAGAGGCGAGGAAGCCCGGACGAGGAGGAAGAGAAGAGGTGGATTAAGTGTCTTGCGTAAGAGCCCTTGACGAAGGGGATGTGATTTATATAATTTAGCAAAGTAGTGAGCTACGTAGTCTTATACCGGGTCGTTAGTCATCCCCACCCCCTTCGCTAGACGAGGAAGGAGGGAGGGCGAAAACTCGTACTCTCACCTTAATCACCCTCCACCTCCGCCTTTCTACATCTGTCCGAGGGAATCTTCCGCGCGAGGATGCTCTCGATGTAATACCACGCGATTAACACGCTCTCGTGTATAAACAGTTCACCGTATATGAATATAAAAATCTGTTTACGCCCGTAGCTTTATGGTTCTCCGGTTGGTGTTGGTGAGAAAAATAACTTTCGCGTCGTTGCATCTCTCCTCGGGAGATGCGGGATACGTTTGTCTAATGTCATCCAATTAGAGACCGTATCCGGCGTCTCGATTTGAATAAGATTCTCATGAGGTGGCGAGATATATGTTGATGGCCCGCGTCCAGACCGGAAGAAATGGTCTGTGAACGACTTGGCGGAGATCAATTTGATAGCACGTCGCTCTCCGCTCGTCGTCCCCGCGAATTAATCATCTCGCGACGAAAACCACCCCTTCTCTCTTCCCTTTTCCCGCTTCACGTTTCCGATGATGATTCACGACACTCGGATTTCTACTCTCGGCAAGAGAAGTTTCCCCAGCAAACACCAACATTTAAAAAACAGCAAACATAACATTTATATAATTAATTTAAAAGCGGTTGTAAGATATAAATCAAAAATTAAAAATAAATAGGCAGTAAACCACAGCGTACAGATAACAGTGACGCAAAGAACAAAAAAAGATGACAACGAATAAATTTGAAATTAAAAATATATATATTAATACAAAAATTGTCCTTTAATATATATATTTTTAATTTCAAATTTATTCGTTGTCATCTTTTTTTGTTCTTTGCGTCATTGTTATCTGTACGCTGTGGTTTATTGCCTATTTATTTTTAATTTTTGATTTATATAATTGTTTGTTACATGTTATGTAATAGTTATATTATTGAGTGGGAAATTATAACTAATAGTTATATAACTGTTATTTGGTATTTACTGGGTCCGACTAACGAAAATATATGATATCATGTTTAATTATAATAAGAGGGATAAGGAGAGATATTTATTGTTTTTTTCTTAGCTTTAACTTTGTGTATTTTTTCACGCTTGCTCGCTAACAGTTAATTTTCTAGGCTCCAATTGTCGGAACAACGGAAACGGCAACGGCAAGCAGAGGAGATCGCGAACAAACTTTACCATCGAGCAACTGGCCGAGCTTGAGAGACTCTTCGATGAAACGCACTATCCCGACGCGTTCATGAGAGAGGAACTGAGTCAGCGACTTGGTCTCAGCGAGGCAAGGGTCCAAGTCTGGTTTCAGAATCGACGTGCAAAGTGCCGCAAACACGAAAGCCAGTTGCACAAAGGTAAACTAAATTTTGTTACAAACAAAAATTTATTTTTTTTTATTCCTGCGAATTAAATTCATCTACATCTATATATTCCTAGATTAACATATATTCTAATCGAAGAAACATGTAAAAAAGTAATCGTAATATTATGATTTAGAAAAATTAACACGATGTTTACTCCCCAAAAAAAACATATAACAAAATCTAGTTGGAAAAATTAGAAAATTCTTGTGAAATTTTTAAAATGATTTATTAATAATTTTGTTCTTATGATATAAATAATAAGCAACCCATTGATAAGTCAAATTGTAAATTATGTGTGTTTAAAATATACTATAAATATATATCTGTCTCTATATATTTAGGATGTTTTAAACACACAATTCACAAGCTAAGGATGATTCTGTGTTTTTCTTTTGTACAAATGAAAAGGATTTTAGAAAATGCATGCAATAAAGAATTCTATTTTAAAAAATTGCATCAAACAATCTTTAAATTACTATCTTTATACGAAATTTTTCTTAAACTGTTTTTTAATAATTTTGTTCTTATAATATAAATAATAAGCAACTCACTGATAGGTCAAATTGTAAATTATGTGTGTTTAAAACATACTATAAATATATATCTATTTATATATTTAGGATGTTTTAAATACACAATTCACAAACTAAGGGTGGTTCTGTGTTTTTCTTTTGTACAAATGAAAAGGATTTTAGAAAATGCATGCAATAAAGAATTCTATTTTAAAAAATTGCACTAAACAATCTTTAAAATACTATCTTTACGCGAAATTTTTTAAAAATGTTTTTTGATAATTTTGTTCTTATGTTATAAATAATAAGCAACCATTGATAAGTCAAATTGTAAATTATGTGTTTAAAATATACTATAAATATATATCTGTCTCTATATATTTAGTCTCTATATATTTAGGATGTTTTAAACACACAATTCACAAGCTAAGGATGGTTCTGTGTTTTTTTTTTTTGTACAAATGAAAAGGATTTTAGAAAATACAATAAAAAATCCTATTAAAAAATTACACTAAACAATCTTTAAAATATCTTTACCCAAAATTTCGAATAAAAACACTTGGACCCTTTTCTAGATGGAAATTTTTTACAAGATTTAAGTAGACTTGATTAAATTTGAAATTAAACGGAGAAATGTCAATTTTATCAGCCTGTGGATTCAGCACTCATCAATATTGAAGGCAGAATCAATCGGGAAAAATTCTCCCTCTCTCAGATGAGATTCTCGAAACTGAAATCTTCCCGTAGGCGTCGCCGGGAGCATGGTGCTGGCACCGCGAAGCCCGCCGACGACGTTGGAGCCGTGCCGGGTCGCACCGTATCTGCCGGCGCTCAGGTTGCACCCTCCGCCGATGCAGGGCACAGGTGCTGCGAGTGTCACGGTGGGCTCGGCCTTCGACCCGGCGGTCTTGCACTACGCAGCGGCCGGCGGCCTCTTTTGCCTGCCACCGCCGCCGCCGCCACCCTCGGCACCGTCGGCCGGTCATCCCCCTCATCCGTTGAGCCTGGCGGCGTCGCTGGCCGCCGCCGCGGCCCGCTCCAAGAACAGCAGCATCGCGGACTTGAGGCTGAAAGCGAGGCGGCACCAGGAGGCCTTAGGGCTCGACAGGCCCGCGTAAGGTAGGCCGCATCGCGGGATGGGTACGTCTCGGACGAAGAGGACTCAACGGGGATGAAGAGGTGTGCGCGATGGTAAGTATGCTCTCCGAAGAGGGTTCCAAGGATTCGTCGAGGTACGATCTAGAAGAAAGGATGGGGAATAAACTATAATCGCGGTGAGCTCAAAATTCTGATGCCGTAAAGAAGAATACGTACCCTAAGTTGTCGTCGTTGGTTTGTTCAGATCTCTAAGGGCGAAGATAAGTCTGTGCGACTCTTGTAAATTTTCATACACATCATTCAGCGATCTTACTTGCGTCCCTTTTATCTGTTTAAGTTCGATGCTAAGAAGTATGCCTAGCAACTTGAAATCCCAAATTGCATGTGTCATTGTTATCCCAGGCGGAAGTTCACCCGTGTTTGGAATGTTAAAAGACAACATACGTGTATCCCTTCATCCGCGACGTGCCGAAGCGTCTGAGAAGTACAAAGAGGACACTCAACCCAGTATGTATAAAATAAAAGACGCGACGGGAAACGTGTAACATAATGTATACAGGATCGGGGCTCTTGCTTTGTACCCCGATCAATGTGCTCCGAGTCGTAGAACTGTGATGCAAAACCGCGATCGGAGACTTAATCAGCGACATAATTTACATAATCGACAACGACATTAAAGAGGTGACATTAATGAGTGCTTTCCATTGGGTGACACAAGTCGACACAGGCGTCACTCTCTCTTTGTTATTCACTGATTGGAAAAAGAAATGATTTGCGTCGTTAAATGGAAAGCACCCATTTTACAGTGTATTGTCACCTATTCTCGAAGCAGCTCTCTCCTCAGACAAGCGGGTGGCAGTTCGGAGCTAAGATTAATAAGTACGCTCATGTGCTTCCAGTCCCGAAGAAAATTTCATCAGAATGACGTATTTGTTAAGAGAGGAATTTAAGGAAATATCAAGATACAATGGGTCCTATATCTAGAAGTACATTCATCAACGAACGCAGCTTTCTCGATCGAGCTGATTTAAGAAACGACAAGATCGCATCAAGATCGTTATTTCGGTTCTCGCCGACGACATTAGTCCACGAGGGAGAAGCCCAAGACGCGCCAGGATCGCTGACCAACCGCGAAAGGGAATTATAGATCGCCGCGTCCTGGCAGCGATGTGCAAGACGTAACTCTCCCGTAGATGATTCACGGGTGGGTGGACGGACGACTTCCTCGCATTCGTCGCCGGCGACGCGAACGAGGGACGGCGGGCATCGCCGGGTCGGGGCGCTAATGCAATAACGCGTGGCTACGCGGATAAATCAAGCCAGGCCGAGAACCGGCTCCGGGAGAGAGATAGAGAGAGTAGCCGCGTAATCGCGTTACCCCGGGGTCGTCCCCGGGGCGCCGTTATTGTCTCTCCCCCTCCCACCCTCGAAAACGAGGTGCACCAAAAAGCGCGCGTGTTCCTCGAGTCTCTGGTAATTCGTCCAACCCATTTCCACGCAAATTGCGCTCGCTCGTGTCTTATTTTACGGAGCGATTCATGTATCGTTGTTGCATTTTCGATTACTTGTTGGCTCCCGCTAAACGTATTAAATTTTAATATGCTTGTGGGTGTAGCAGAATATTTGTGTGCGATACAAATATTATTTTAATTTACTTTAATCTAATTTATTTCAATTTGATAAAAATATTTTATCAAATAGAGGTATAAGACGCGAAATATAAAAAAACGAAAAATAAAAAAAAAATAACAAATTAGTTTCAATAGCAATACGAGTCAAATATTATAATATAAAAATATTTTATTTTGGTAATTTATATATTTATATTTATATATTTATATTTATATATTTTTAAAAATCTACATGTTTTAAAAAACTTTATATTTGAGATGGAACTTTATGCAAAGATAAGAGCTTTCTTGCGACGTGTGTTATATCCTAAGATATCAGTATTTATCGTATTCGAAATATAATAATGTTATTAAAAATTATCGCGATATAAAACATCTTCCGGTGCACGTTCGCAGATAAATTAGACATGTACCCCGGGTGGAAGAGGGTGGTAATTGCGTTAACACGGATTTATTTCGACCATCCCCGGGGCATCGTTATCGTCCTATCCGCGCGCCTCGATAGGTCGAAGCAACGTCGCGTGATCGTGATTTGATTAGCGACTTTAATTAAAAAGAATGCCGGTACGCAACAACTGCTTTAACGTGTACGATTCATACGACCCAAGCTTTTTATGGTCGTCGTCCATAAAAAAAGAAAAGTCTATAATTCGGTCTATAATTCGTTTTATGGCCACCGGCTCTATCCGTCAACGATGATTTACAGGTTTGCGTAAATCGATATTAAATTTTTCTAAAATATATAAAGATTATCAAAAAATATTTTTATTAGATTAAAATTAATTAAATTAATATTGGTATCAATTACCTGCTACACACAAGTGCATTAAAATTTAATACATTTAGAACGAGACGCCCAACAAGTATTGTATATGTGTGGTAGCTCGCGTTGGAAATTACTTCACCGCTAAAGGGATAAGTTGACCGAGGTGATTTGTTTATACAAAAACACATCGTCGGCCAAACGACTAATCGATAGATTCAGTTACCTATATAATTAATTTAGAGATTTCGCGCGGATTCAATTACTCGTATAATTAATTTAGAGATTTCCACCAAATTTCGTCGATCTATTACTCCGTCTCAGGAGAGTAATAGAGACAAAATGATATTTTTTCCTTCTTCATAAAGGGTTCAAGATCTTCAATCACGAATTGTTCTGAAAAAATATGCATAATATTAAAAATGATCTTTGATATTTATTAAAATATAAAGATTAGTCATATAAACATTTAATTATCATAGATATTTCTATCAAAATGGATTTAACGCTTTGACAATATTTTTCTTTCTGTATTTCAATATTTTAGATTATTAAGCAATTTTTGCAAAACGATATAAAGACAGGTGTATTCGAGTTATCAAATTATTATCGACGATTATGAACATTAATAGCAATTCGGACAAAGATATAATTAACAGTAATTTACCGTAACTCGCGTAATAGTAAAAATAATGAAGCTCATCCACGAGCAACAGAAAGATATAATAATAAAGGTGCAAGGCCAGGGCCAAGGGTCCTATCCGCCCTTTTCACCCCCGCGACGATTTCACGAATAAAATAAAACCCTCTTGCATCTCAGGATAATTCGGAATTATCATAGATATTTCTATCAAAATGGATTTAACGCTTTGACAATATTTTTCTTTCTGTATTTCAATACTTTAGATTATTAAGCAATTTTTGCAAAACGATATAAAGACAGGTGTATTCGAGTTATCAAATTATTATCGACGATTATGAACATTAATAGCAATTCGGACAAAGATATAATTAACAGTAATTTACCGTAACTCGCGTAATAGTAAAAATAATGAAGCTCCACCTCATCCACGAGCAGCAGAAAGATATAATAATAAAGGCGCAAGGCCAGGGCCAAGGGTCCTATCCGCCCTTTTCACCCCCGCGACGATTTCACGAATAAAATAAAACCCTCTTGCATCCCAGGATAATTCGGAGGGCGCCGAGGGAAGCACCTCTCTCTCTCTCTCTTTCTCTCTCTTCTCTCCCCTTCTCTCATTTTAATCCGAGTTTTAAGAAGTTTTTCCTATTGCTCGTAAATTGGCCGTCGTTTGTCTGGCCGGGGTCACGTGGGGCCGGCAAGGGGTGGAAACCACCCCCGGGATATTCTCCCCTCTACGAGATCCTGTTGTTCGTACATTGCGCATTCGTGGTGCGCGACTGGAAGGAGGAGGGGAGGTGGAAACTCGTAACTGCGATATAATGTCCCGCGAAAACCAGCTACCATCATCAATTATCTCCGCCCTCTCATCCTCTCAGAGGGGATGAAGCGGGGAATACATAATCGGGAATGCGCAAGGGGGGGGACGTGATTTCTCCAAAATGTTGCGGAACCGGCAATGTTATTATAAACAAAATATCATCAATATTACATATTAATTAATTATACATATACACGTAATAGTAACAATGTTATCTACGAGAGAATAAGGAAATGCGCGATTATATAAAATCAAGAAAATATATACAATTAATTATAATAAATGAAAATCTCGAAAATTTCCAATGCCTTTATCTAGAATAATATTTTCGATACGATATCTGCTTGAAAAACAGATATATCCTCTTCTCTCTGATAAATTTTATTCCACCTCTTATTCGAAAATAATGATTCTGATGATATCTTTATTTTATATACATATATTTCCTTCTATATATTTATCTCTCCCTTAAAGTTTCATTTTATAAATAATTCCAAGATATTGTCAGGTCGAAATTCAACGTTTCAACGGTCTCAACAGTCATCAGCGAAAAATTCGTGGCAACAGATCAATCCCGCAATTCCGGCGCGATCAGGACGAGAGGGAGGGAGGGACGAGGGATGCTGTGCGAGATTTGGAAATAATTCAGCCTCGCGCACTGACTGGCGGGCCAAGGGGCCGCTTGCTCCGGGTCGCCGCTCCTTCCGGCCTCCGCGTGCCTTAATCTAATCCAAGGATAATCTAAAATTCATGACACACATAACTGCCAGGCGATGATATATCTGGCGGGGGTGTAGAGGCAACGCGTCTTCTCCGCGTTCCTCCCCTGCCCTGCCTCGTCTCTGCCGCCCCTTCTTCCCCTCCCTCGTTCTTACTAGCTCACAGTTCGTCTCGGCGGGCAGCTAGCAGCAATCACTGGCATTATTATTTAATGCGACGCGCGTAGCAACGTATACGTCGAGCAGGCTACTCGTAAATCGCGATATCGTAGACCTGCCGCTGTTTATCTCGCGAGAGGAATTACCACCCCCGTTCACCGCCAATCGATCTCTCTTCTCTTCAAACATCCTGAGATGTGTACGTTGGACGAGAACACATTGTAATCACTGACCACGCACATCGCAGGATGCATCATTTTTTCTATTGCAACACACATTTTCATCTATATTGTTGATTGTATTTTATTTTTATATTATAGGATTATAAAATACTTTATATTTTATTATTATTTTATTATAGAAGATTATGAGATATTTTATTATTTTTATTATTCTAATATATAACTATCTATCTATCTATTTATCCATCTCCATTGAATATAAAACAAAATTTATATTCAAAGGAGATGGATAAATAGAAGATATAAGTTGAAGCATCTATCTTCAATCTGTCATATTGAAAGAATGACATTATGACATTTTATAATATTGACCAAAATGATTAATGAAAATTAATTAATTTAAAAGTCCTTTTGCAATGATTATGCTACTACTATTTTATTATTTTTATATTATAAAATTATAAAATACTTTATATTTTATTATTATTTTATTATAGAAGATTATGAGATATTTTATTATTTTTATTATTCTAATATATAACTATCTATCTATCTATTTATCCATCTCCATTGAATATAAAACAAAATTTATATTCAAAGGAGATGGATAAATAGAAGATATAAATATTATTTTTATTATTTTAATATATAACTATCTATCTACTTATCCATCTCCTTTGAATATGAAACAAAATTTATATTCAAAGGAGATGGATAAATAGAAGACATAAGTTGAAGCATCTATCTTCAATCTGTCATTGAAAGAATGACATTATATAATATTGATCAAAATGATTAATTAAAATTAATTAATTTAAAAGTCCTTTTGCAATGATTATGCTACTACTATTTTATTATTTTTATATTATAAGATTATAAAATATTTTACATTTTATTATATTTTATTATTATTTTATTATACTTTATTATTTTATTATACTTTA